TATTCCAGCGATGCAAGGATGGTTCAATATTCACAAATCAATAAATGTGATACACCACATTAAAAATAGGAAGGATAAAAAATTACATGATCATCTCAATAGACGTAGAAAAAGCATCTCACAATATTCAACATTCGTTCATGATCAAAACTCTCATCAAAGTTGGTATAGAGGGAAAAAATCTCAACATATTATGACAAACCTATAGCTAATATTATACTCAATGGTGAAAAGCTGAAAGCCTTTCCTCTAAATTCAGGAACAAGACAAGGAAGCCCACTCTCACCACTTCTATTTAACACAGTCTTGGAAAACCTAGCCACCACAATCAGATAAGAATGAGAATAAAGGTCATCCAAATCAGAAGGGAAGAAGTAAAACTGTCACTATTTGCAGATGGCGTGATATAGAAAACCTTAAAGTCTCCTCTAAAAAATTATTAGAACTAATAAGTGAAGTAGGTAAGGTTGGTGGATACAAGATTAATATACAGAAATATGTTGCTTTTCTATACACTAATAATACACTATCAGAAAGAGAAAGTTAAAGAAAATTCCATTTAAAACTGCATCAAAAAGAATAAAATACCTAGAAATAAATTTAACCAAGGAGGTGAAAGGCCTATACTCTGAAAAGTATAAAACATGGATGAAGAAAATTGAAGATGATACAAAGAAATGGAAAGATATCCCATGCTCTGGGAATGGAAGGATTAATATTGTTAAAATGGCCAAACTACTCAAAGCACTCTACAGATTTAATGCAATCCCTATCAAAACACCCACGACATTTTTCACAGAACTAGAGTAAATAATCCTAATATTTATATGAAACTAAAAAAGACACTGAATTGCCAAAGCAATCTTGAGAAAAAGAACAAAGCTGGAGATATCACCCTCCCTGACTTCAGACTATATTATAAAACTAAAGTAATCAAAATAGCATGGTACTGTCACAAGAACAGAAACATAGATCAATGGAACAGAATAAAGAGCACAGAAATAAATCCACATCCCTATGGTCAATTAATCCATGACAAAAGAGGCAAGAATATACAATGGAGGAAAGACAGTCTCTTCAATAAGTGGTGCTGGAAAAACTGGACAGCTACATGTAGACAAATTAGAGTAGAACATTTCCTCACACCATATACAAAAGTAAACTTAAAATGCATTTAAAAACCTAAATGTAAGACCTGAAACCAAAAGAAAAAAAAATACTCCTAGAAGAGAAGATAGGCAGAACACTCTTTGATATAAATTGTAGCAATATTTTTCTGTCTCCTAAGGCAAAAGAAATAAAAGCAAAACTAAACAAATGGGACCTAATTAAACTTAAAACGCTTTTTAGGAAACACATTGAGAAACGCACTGCAAAGAGAAAATGAAATGAAAAGACAACCTACTGAATGGGAGAAAATATTTGCAAATGATATGACCAACAATGGTTAATACCCCAAATATATAAACAGATAATTCAATTCAATATCAAACAAACAACAACACAATCAAAAAAAAAACAATAGACATTTTTTTTCTAAAGAAGACACACGGATGGCTAACAGGCACATAAAAATATCCCGAAAATCACTAACTATTAAAGAAATACAAATCAAAACCACAATGAGATATCACCTCACAACTATTAGAATGGCCATCATCAAAAAGTCTACAAATAACAAATGTTGATAAGGAAGTAAAGGGAACCTTGCTACAATGTTGGTGGGAATGTAAATTGGTGCAGCCACTATGGAAAACAGTGTGGAAGTTCCTCAAAAAACTAAAAATAGGACTACCATATGATCCAGCAATTCCACTCCTGGGCATATATCCAGAAAAAAATGAAAACGCTAATCTGAAAAGATACATGCACTCCAATGTTCATCAAAGCACTATTTATAATAGCCAAGATATGGAAGCAACCCAAAGTGTCCATCAATATATACAACTGAATATTACTCAGCCATAAAAAAGGCTGAAATTCTATCATTTGCAGCAGCCTGCATGGAACTACAGAATATTATATTTAGTAAAATAAGTCAGACAGAGAAATACTATATATGATATTGCTTATATGTGGAATCTAAAAAATAAAATAAATGAATGTATATAGCAAAACAGAAACAGACAGATACAGAAAACAAACTAGGGGTTATCAGTGGGGAGAGGAAAGGGGGAGGTGCAAGATGGAGTTATGGAATAAGAGATATAAACCATTATGTATAAAGTAGTTAAGCAACAAGGATATATTGTACGGCACAGGGAATAGTAGCTATTATTTTGTAATAAGTTTTATTAGAGTATAATCTATAAAAATACTGAAACAATAAGCTGTACACCTGAAACTAATATATCAACTTAACTTCAATAAAAATATTTTTTAAATAAAAGGAACACTTGTATGCACACAAGTAACAAAAATAAAATCTCTACATCGTTTTTTTTGGCTGTGCTGTGCAGCTTGCGCTATCTTAGTTTCCCAACAAGGGATCAAACCCGTGCCCCCTGCAGGGAAAGCATAGAGTCCTAACCACTGGACTGCCAGGGAATTCCCAAAGTCTCCACATCCTGACAGAAAAATAAATGTATTCCACTTATAAAATTAAAGAGTCATGGGCATGTAGTTACTGTACAACATGATGACTATTGTTAATAATTCTGTATTGCATATTTGAAAGTTGCTAAGACAGTAGATCTTAATAGTTCTTAACAGGGGGAAAAAAATTGTAACTATGTATGAAGGATGTAACTAGACTTATTGTGTTGATTTCACAAGACAGTTGACCCTTGCACATGTGTTTGAACTAGATGAGTCCACTTATAAACTAACTTTTTTCAATAGTAAATACAGCACTACATGATTTGCGGCTAGGTATCAAGAATACTGAGGGTAAGCTATAAAGTTATATGTGAATTTTCCACTGTGTGTATATACAAAAATTAAATCATTATATTGTACACTTGAAACTAATGATGTTATATGTCAATTACACATCAATGAAAAAATGCACAGCAGAGTCCAAGCTTTAACACATCATCTTTAACCCAACTACATAGTACTAATAAATGAAATATAACAAATAAAAAATAGAGAATCAAAGATGGGCTCAAAAGTAAAATAAATAGATTAGAAATGAATTGAGAATCTATATGTTCAAAATTGCACCCCTGTACTGACTTCCAGCATGACAGTGTAAAAAAGTCTACTGACCTGCTCCCGAAATGAAAAGTTAAAAGAACAAATGAACAAACAAACACCATTTAAAGGCTCTGAAAATGGTTCAGAAGGCAAAGAGCACATCAAGAAACAACTATTCCAGAAAATCTATGAAAATTTGGTAAAAAAAGGGCTAGAGTGTGTGGTATTTAAACTAACACTGCTCTCTCCCTCTCTGCTTCAAGCAAGGCAGAGGCTCCATTCTGGAGGGCTGCAGCCAATAACATGGGGTTCCCTCTCTCCCAAATTCCCAATCTGAGAACCTTCTACATGTGTGAGGAGCAACATTCAACATTTTTCATCCCATCGTCAACCACCTAGTGCAGAGGCTGAGTCCTTGGCAAGGGAAACAAGAGGTGAGGACTCTTCCAGCACGCCCCCACACAACTAATGGAATGGAGGCTCTATCTTAGGTGTGGTGCATTGAAAATACTGGAGCCCGGATCACCTTTGCCCTGCACATAAGGCAGTGTTTCCACACTAGGAAAGACAATTTTTTTGTGTGGTCCAACTTACCAATCTTTTCTTTCTTTTTTTTTTTTTTTTTTTTGGTACGCGGTCCTCTCACTGTTGTGGCCTCTCCCGTTGCGGAGCACAGGCTCTGGACGTGCAGGCTCAGTGGCCATGGCTCACGGGCCCAGCCGCTCTGCGGCATGTGGGACCTTCTTGGACCGGGGCACAAACCTGTGTCCCCTGCATCGGCAGGCGGACTCTCAACCACTGCGCCACCAGGGAAGCCCACCAATCTTTTCTTTTATGGTTCATTTTTTTTTTCTACCCTGTTTACGAAATTTTTGCCTTTCCCAAGAACATGAAGTTATTCCCCTGTTTTCTCCTAGAAGCTTTATTACTTTACCATTTATATTTAGGTCTATGACCCATTTTGAACTTTTTGTGTATGATGTTAAGGTAAAAGGCCATGATTTTTTTGTGTGTGTATGTCTATAAGAATATAAGTTCTCTATTTTGGCAAACAAATTCTCTCATGCTTGGAATTTACGATCTTTTGTTGACACTGTTTGGTATGAGTAGTAGTGGGCAATATTTAATATTCTTAAAGAATTAATCTAAGAACCATAATGCACTTTGAATACAATTGAGATGTATTGTTGGAAACATTCCATCAATGAGTGTTTTAGTCCCAGGATTGGTGTCATGAGACAAAGACCACAGATTGAAGGTCCCTCATAACTAGAAGCAAATGGCTGTGCTACTGGAGAGTAGTGAGGAGCACTAAGATAATGGCCAAAATACCAGATGAGACAGACCAGCCCATACCTCAATGTACCCTACTGTAGGATTCCCAGTAACAGGAGAGGAGAAAAGTCACCTCAATGACTTTTTTTTTTTACCTCAATGTCTTTTGGGTTCTAACAAGAACCCAGCATAGGCACAGAGGCTTCTTGCCCCACATCCATAAGGACACATAAGTTTCCCCTACACCCAACACTATCTCAAGAATTAAGAGGTAGAAAGGGGGCCAAATGTCAAATGATTTATATTCCTGATGGAAAGTTTATTCATTGGATTGAGTAAACATATAACAGAGAAACAATTTTAATTGGAAAAGGTTAACTTTACCTGGTAAAATTTACCTTAGCAAAATTAAGAGCTATAGAACAAGATGAGATCATTTATAGAAAATAAAGTTACTGCACATATGAATTGTGTTGTGATGTATACTGTTTTTAACTCTAACCTGGTAAGCATTGGTACAGTTAAGAGGTACACAGGCTCAGGATGTTTCACCTTAGGCAATAAAATTTATAAGCTGAATTGGTTACCTTGAAGCCAAATAGAGAGGGAAGGCTGAAGAAGCTTTTCCTTCATGCAGGTATCTGATGCTGTGCCAGGAAGTTTTAAGAATAACAACAGGAATGGAGTTGATGGGTCATTTCAGTTGAACTGTTCCCTGGTGGCTACAGTGGGCCTAGAACCACAGAGTGGAGAGACAGAATTTGCTCTGATAGTTGCCGACTAGAGAGCCTTTGCTATCGGCAGAGAATACTGATAACGGCTTTCAAACTTCCACACAGTAATGCTTTCTTCCAATGAATTCTTATTCCAGGAAACCTAAAATATAAAAGAGATATGAAGGTTAAGAAGGTTATTTAGACAGTATCTATCTGCTTTCTTATAATATCCCTAAAGTAATTCCATAGCACTTTGAAAATCACTGAGGGAAGTGCCAGTTCAAGACAGGTCAGCTGAACAGACACAACTAACCTGGGCTCTGATACAGTTTGGCTGGAATCTTTTGCCTCAGGCTAACATGCTGAGAATGGCTTCCCAGAGAAAGTGAGCGATCTGCTGGGGAAATGTCTTCCTGGAAATAATATGGATGTTGAGGTCTAAAACAAAGACTGCTAGCTGTACCTGCAACATCCATTCTCCCTTTTGTCCTGTGAAGCACATGGTCACCTTGAATCAACATAACATTTCCTAGTACTTAATAGCAGGTAGTGTTAAAAGTTTCAGAAATGGAGACCTGACTGAAATAAAGACTGCAGCCTGGGAAACACAGATTCAACAAACACTTGAATTGTGTTCTACCAGACTACAAAATGGGAGAGGCTTATAAAGGCAAAAAGTTGCAAGGCCACAGTTAATTATTTGAGTTGTTTTTCAAGAATTATGATTAGAGCTGGCAAGAAGTGAGGGTGCTTGGTAAGCATGGATTGGTTGGGGTCTGAAATGGTTGCACAGTTACAAAGGGAGACCTTGAGACGATAAGGTTGCAGCTGGCAAGTGTTGTTCTGAATATGCTGGTGGTGTCCTTGGGCCTGGAACATTTCAAAGAAAGTTCAAGTTCTCAGTGATGCAGAGACCAGAGACCATATCCTCAATGGCCACCTGACTCCATTCTGTGTGCCCAAACTGTGATTACTCCATTATAATTTCAATCTGTTATTAGTAGTTATGTGTGACTGTATGTCTAAGTACTGACATATAAGATATAAACAAAAATGTTGTGAGCAACTTCTGGCTGGGAAATTCTTAAAGGACTCTTCCTTCTGGCTGGAAGGTGGGCATAATGTCCAGAGTTAGAGCAGCCACTTTCATCGGTTGTAGATGGCACATATTGAGCTCGACAGAACCACAAAAATGTAGAAACCTGGTTCACTGATGATTGGAAAACTAGTCCTGGGGTACCTACACTTATGTGTGTGAGAAATAAACTTCTATCTTGCTTAAACTGCTGTTATTTGGTTTTTAAAAATCACAAACAGCTAAATCTTAACATCTAAACAAATAAATGATATAGGAGAAAAATATCACATAGCAAAGCTCGAGGTTACACTGTTCCTCTGAAAAAGGTACAAAATTGACTGGGGGTTGGGGGGAGGGAGACAGAAAGACAAACCAGGAGGGAAATTCTCTTCCACAAGGATAAAACCCTTCTTAGTTTAATAACTGTGAGAGACTTCAGCTTACCTTTCTATTTTCCACCCCTATATCCTGAAAGTAATTGTGACTAGGAAAAGCCCTATCTACTGACTCAGAGCCTCATTTTTCCCTCCTGTTTAGAAAACCTCCACTTACACAACTACAGGAAAAATTAATGCCATGATTTACTTTGAAATGCTTTTTTTTAAAAAAAAATATAACTCAATGGCTCAATAGAAGATGAATATGTAAACAGTTATATGACAAAGCTAGTACAGTATAATAAAATGTTAACAAGAGAGTCTAGGTAGTGGGGACACATGTCCACTGTACTATTATTTTAACTTTCTTTATGTTTGTATATATTCATGATAAAATATTGGAAGGAAAAACATTCTAGTTACCTCTAAAGTAATCAACATAACCCATTTTACAAAGACCTAAACAGAAAATCACGGATCACCAGATATTCGCAGAAAATCAATCAAAGACAAGGATGACAATAAACAGAATAACCAACCTTAGAGGAAAGAGAGATGGTTGAGGAAACAGAAGAAAAGAATTTTCAGATGATATTGTAAACATAAAAGAACATTCTACTATGTAAAATAAGCAATCAGAAAATAAGAAATATTTCTTGAAAATTAAATATATTATATCTGAATATTTTTAAAAATTCAATGACGTTAAACCTATCTTGAATTTAAATAACATTAAGAGCTAAAACTTATTGAGTCCAAGTCACCATCACTGTTCATCTAGATGAACAAAATAGCCTCACAAATTGTCTGCCTAGTTCTATACTGACCCCTTACAGTCAATTCTTAAAGCAGCCATAGAGACCCTTTTAAAATCAGATAGTGTCTCTCCTCTACTTACAGTGACTCCCCTTTTCATTCAGAGTAAAAAGTCTTAACAATAGCCTCCATGATCCCTCATTCACACATCCCTCTTTCCTCTTCTACTACTCTTCTTTGTTTTCTTCTTTCCAGCCACTTTGGCCTCCTTAGAACTGTTTGAACAAGCCAGGTATCTCCCAAACTTAGTGTTTTTGATCTAGTTTTTCCACCATTGATTAGTTTTGCCTCTTCTAGAATTTCATATAAATGAAATTATAACCAGCATACCTTTTTTGCATGCAAGGCTTCTTTCACTCAGCTTAATGTTTTGAGGTTCATTCATGTTGTTCCAGGTATTAGTGGCTTGTTCCTTTCCATTGTTTAGTAGTCTGTTGCATGAATATACAAAAATATGTTTATGCCACTGTCTGATGGACACCTGGATTATTTATAGTTTGGGGCTATTGTAAATAAACTGCTATGAATATTCTTATATATTTTAATTTATCTATTGGCTTTTTACATTTCTTTGCATTTCTTTTAGTGGTTATTCTAAGTATTAAAACGTATATCCTTAACTTTCTATAGAGTATAAACATACATTCACTACTTACCCCACCCTGCCCTTTATGGCATAGCTAACTTTCATATGTACTATATCAAAAGATATAATAAGCCTTACTAGACAATGTTATAATTTTTGTTTTAAACAGTTATATGTATTTTAGTGAAATTAAGAGGTAAAACATATATTTACTGAGATATTTGCTACTTTTGATGCTCTTTCTTCCTGAAGATTTGAATTGCCATTTGATTTTATTTCCCTTCCTTTAGCATTTCTTGTAGTGCAGATCTGCTTGTGATAAAGTCTTTTACCTAAAACTTTTTATTTCACCACTCTTGAAGGATATTTCACTAGATACAGAATTCTGGATTGACTGTCTTTTTCTTTCAGCACTTCAAAAACGATCTACTCTCTTCTGGCTTCCACTGTTTCTGATGAGAAGACCCAAGTTCTGATCATTTGGATCACTGTTCTCCTATATGAATGTGTCATTTTATTCCTGCAGCTTTCAAGATTTTCTCTTTATTGTTGGTTCACAGAAGTTTGACTTTCTTGTGCATAGGTATGCTATTTTTGTGTTATGTATGACCAAGTTCACTGACTCTATCTTCACAATCTCCATTCTTCTGTTAAGCCCATCAAGTGAATTCTTAAAAATTTCATATATTTTGTTGTTTTGTAATAGAATTTCCATTTGGTTCTTTATTATAAATTTTATGCCTCTGCTGAGAATTCCTGTATTTTCATTCAATGTGAGTATTCTTTTCCTTTAAGTCATTAAGTATAGTTATATACTTATAGTTCTTTAAGTCCTAATGATTCCAACAATGAATTAGCTTGGGATCAGTCTCTATTACTTGTCTTTTCTCTCTTAGGAGAACTCACACAACTCATCATATAGTTGTACTCACAGCTCAGATTTACTACAGGAATGTAGTGTGTGTGTGTGTGTGTGTGTGTGTGTGTGTAAGAAAGAAAGCTCATTATAAGGATGAGGGAGTATATCTTAAAAGCCCACTGACCACATTCAACATTAAATATATCAAGTTCCAGTGAATATTGGGAGGCGGAATAAGTTTCTGAGGGTATTTGGGAATAATCAGGTTGCCCACAATACAGACATCAGTATATAAGAGGATTAGAATGAAGAAGAGTTAAGAGTAAATTTTGTGCTTAAAGAAATAATTGTGGAGAACTAGGAATAAGAGAGTTCAGAATTGAGATATAAACTGGAAGGGAAAGTTCATAAAAGTACCAAGAAGAGATTGAAGAATTACTCAGTCCTAATATTCCAAAGAGAAAGTACCATTTCAAGCTTGAAAACATGATTTTTACATAATTATTTGACATATTTTAAAATTCATAGTTTCTCTTATTTATATATATATATATATATATATATACACATACACACACACATATATGTCACAGTATGACATATATTGAATATGTGGTGCTTGGGGGTGGGGGAAATAAGCAGAAATCCAAATTTTTCTTGTAATACTACAATCTAAAACTTCTTTGTCAGATGTTTTTCCCTAACCCTAGATTATTAGCTAGGCATGCATTATGGCTTTTCTGTTTACATTAGGATAATTTTGGAATGTCTCAATCTTAGTTATTTAAAAATCCAGTATGATCTAAATCACTTTAAATGTTTCCTATTCATTGCTTCTCTTCATTCTTTCTTCTTTTTTTTTTTTTTTTTTGGTCTTCCACACTTTTTCTGCCTTCTCTGATTTTAATTGAACATTTTATGATTCCAGTTTCCATCCTCTCTTAAGATACCAATTAAAACTTTTGTTTTTGGATGTTCTAAAATGGTTGCCTTACAATTTGCAATATACATTTACAACTTACCTAAGTCCACTTTCAAATAACACTATAATGCTTCATGGGTAGTGAAAGTACAAAGTATTTTCAATTTCTCCCTCCTGTCCTTTATAACACTGCTGTCATTCATTTCACTTACCCATAAGCTATAATCAAAGAACACAATGTTGATATTATTTTGAACAATGTTATCTGTTACATCAATTAAGAAAAGTTTAAAAAAAATTTTACCTTCATTTATTCCTTCTCAAAAACTCTTTCTTCATGTAGATCCAAATTTCTGATGTATAACATTTCTATCTCTTTGAAGAACTTCTTTTAACATTTCTTGCAGGGCAAGTCCACTGGTGACAATTTCCCTCAATTTTTGTTTGTCTGAGAAAGTCTTTATTTTTCCTCTATTTTCTAAGGATAATTTCACTGGATATCAAATTCTAGGTCTTCAAGACTTTAAATATATCATTCCATTTTCTTTTTGCATAGTTTCTGAAGAAAAGTTCAATGTAATTCATATCTTATTTTTTCTCTGTAGGCAACATTGGTTGTTTTCTCCCCTCTGACCTCTTTCAAGATTTTCTCATAGCCTTTCATTTTCTGCTGTTTGATTATATATGCCCAAGTGTAATTTTTTAGTATTTAACCAGTTTAGAATCCTCTAAGCTTCGTGGATCTGTGGGTTTTAATCTCTCATTAATTTTGGAAAATTCTGTCCTTACTTCAAATAGTTCCTTTGTTCCTTTTCTCTCTTCTCCTTCTAGCATTCCCATTATGCATATGCTAACTTTTTGTAATTTCCCCACTTTTCTTGGATATTCTGTTTCATCTTCTTCATTCTTTTTTCTTTTCAGTTTTGGAAGTTTCTATTGACATATCCTCAATCTAGATTCTTTCCCTGGTTGTGTCCAGTCTACTTATGTGCCTACCAAAGGTGTTTTTCATTTCAGTTCCTGTGTTTTGGATTTCCAGCATGTCCTGTTGATTCCTTCTTAATATTTTCACCTCTCCGCTTACTGTCCCCTTCTGTTTCTGCATGTTGTCCACTTTCCTTCCACTTCAAAGGCTAGAGTGGTCTGGAGTTGAGTATTTTCATTCCACTAGGTTGGTAACCCCCCAGTTGGTTAGGCTCTGGTAAAACAGTTTCCCTTAAAGGCAGATTTTATTAAGGAAAATAGAGAGCTCTGGGCATATTTGAAAATGCTCACTTTTCCTCTCCCACTGTCAAAAGAGAATTTTTATCTGATTTTCAAAGTGAGAAGCCGGTAGGTCTCTTGGAGGTAGCAGTCACAAAAGTGTGCCCCCCCCACCCCCAAGCAATGGAACCACTTGGAGTTTTAATTCTCAAATTAGTCCATGAGTTTTAATGCCTAAAGTAGTCCACAGAGAGCTTCTGGCAATTCATCTATTATAAGTGGAGACTAGGTTGTAGAAAAGTAAGAACAGAAGCGTGTAGAACAATTAAGAAACAATTAGAGCATCCAGTGAGGAGTAGCATAGTAGTTGTAGAGGTGGTGAGAATTGGTTAGATTTAGAATACCCTTTGAAAAGAGCTGATAGATTTTGCTGAGGGACTGACCGGATGTGAAACTTGAGAGAAAGAAGAATCAAACTATGAACTGAACAATTCTAAGAGTCAATATGCCATTTGCTGAGATGTAAAGATATACACTAGGAAGAGTGAAACAGGTTTTGGAAACAGAAAATGGTTTGAAATGCATGTTAAATATCCTAGTAGATATGTTGACTAAGAAGTTAGATACGTTAGTATAGAAATCAAAGAAATCATGGCTGGAAATGGCTATTTGGAAGCCATCAGCATAGTGATGCTATATAAAGACAGTGAAGGAAAGAATGAGATTACCTGGGGAATAAAGGTGGCTAAAGAGGGGAAGAGAGCTGGGACACACTAAGAAATGAGGCAGAGTCTAGCAAAGAACAATCAAAAGAGCTCTGTGAGTTCACAAAAGTCAAATGAAGAAAGCGTTTCAAGTTTCAAAAAGGAGGATGTGATGAACTGTGTCAAATGCTGGTGAATGGTTAAGCAAGATGAAAACTAAGTGTTGCCCCTTGGATTTATCAGGATTGTTTAAATGCCCAGATATCTACAAACTCCCTTTTTATGAAAACATATAAACTAGCTAAGAGGTCTCACATTCAAGTGTGCGTAAGAATTAAAGACCTAGAGTTTATACTTAACGTCACGTATCCTGCACTTTGTGGGCCACTTACAGTATTTTCATGAGTAATTTTTACTCTCAGGGATTTTCACCGTAAAGGCTGAGTTTAGATCCAACCCACTGTTAGCGATGTGATCCTAGCTTTACACAGCTGTTTCCAATCTATCCTATTAGCAGTCAGTAGATAAGGAAAATGAGTAACTACTTCACGTAAGTCATAATTTACAGGTAAATTTAATTTTCTAACTCTAGACTTTTCCACTCCCTGTCTTTTCTGGAGTTGAAGGGACCAGGTGAAGCGGGATAAACCATGTGTGGGAGAGTGGGCAATTAGTGGCATGGGCACTCTCCCAACTGTTTTTAAACTACGCTTGGAGAACGAGGCTTCACGGTGGCCCCATACTCTGAAGTAACCCAGGAAGGGGTGTCCCTTACTCCAGAAGAAAGAGCAAAGGAAAGGCGAAGAGAGCCCACAATGACATAACAGGACAATCCCTCCCTCCCGCGTGCCTTTCTCTCCCAGCCCACCTACCGCCACAACAACCGACCCAGCGACCACGCCCCGCCTCCTTCCGTCTTGTCGCGGCCGCCGCCGACGTGTGCGCAATGACGTTTCAATCGCCTGCGGACCCCGGAAGTGCAAGTGGAACTTGTTCGGGGCGCGGATCCGGAGAGGGAAAGTCGTAACAACCGCACGAGGGAGTTCGGCTGGCGAGCTGGAAGGCCACGCCTCCTCCCGCCTCCCCCCACAGCCCTGTAGCTGGGGGCAGAGCTCAGGTAGGACCTGCGTTTGCCGGGTTGTGAACTCCCGGGGGGGGCAGGCCCGGGCCAGAATCAGAGGAAGAGGCTGGCCTTGGTTCGTCTCGGGCGGGGGTCGCTGGCGCCGCGTTTCCTGCGGACACTTCTGCCCTGTGTACAGGACCCCGCTGATGGGCAGCTTACACCTGCCATTTCCACTTCCGAGGCGGGGCATTACACATGTGTTCCCTGGATGAGTCTCCTTACTCTTGGACGTTTGGGGTTCTGGGAGCCTAGAGACTGTAGCGTAATGGGCCTTTCTAAGCTTTCTCAGGTGGAGAGGTTTGGTGGTTCTCTGGTTGAAGATTTTTCTACGAAAATGATCATCACCTGCCAAACCTTTACCAGAAGACATTCGCTGTAGGCAGAAGATTAAAGTGCAGTTATAAAATGCTCCCCAAACTTGTAACGTGCATGGGCGCTGGTGGGACATTTCACTGGGATGAATTCTTAATTGAATACTTTTGACTTTGAAACAAAGTTAGGTATATTTTGGAGGCAGTCTTCTCTTTCTCTCATCCAGAGATTTAACATATTCTTCTAGTGCTCCAGAGTGTGTATTTGTTATGCCAAGTAATTGGTTACTTAATTTTTGGCTATATTTATTGACAGTCTTGTTGCCTTTGTCTGTTTCCCCAAATCCTGTGAAAAGTTGCAGAGGGAAAATCCTTTGGTTTTCAGGCTAGCGAGTGCCTTGTACCATTTATCAAAACAGGTGAAATGTGATGCAATCCACGGTATCTTTTTGTCTTAAAGCGGTGTTAGAGGTGTATTCTTCGTGCTTGTTTTTTATCCCTCATTGTAAGGGACAGATACAGTAGTATTCATTTGATGTATTTAGAAAATAAGTCAGGGAGCAGTTTTTTGGCAGTCTGGTACCAGGCTTCTATCTGACTCTTTAAGTGTTCCTTCCACTTAAGCCTAAACCAGGAATGCTGTGGATGGCTTAGAAGCAGTGGCTGTTGTGACGCTGGTAAATGGTAGAATAGCACCAACGCCAAGAGGGCAGCGTGACCTATGAAACCGTAACCATGCACCCACTCATTCCATTAACAGGTATTTATGGGCCATCTTCAGTGTGCCAGGTGGTGTTCTAGTTGCTGGGCTTCCAATAGTGAACAAAATGGGCAGTCTTTGTTCTGAAATTTACGCTGCAGCGGATAGAGAAGGACAGTTAGCAAGTAGATATATCAGGTAGTGATAAGGGCTATGAAGAAAAATAAAGCACATTGAGGGGAGAGAGAATGAATGATGGAGGATGCTGTTTTAAATAGGGTGGTCAAAACCTGCCTCTCTGGCTGAGACAGTGAGAGGCCCGCGCACCGCGATGAAGAGCGGCCCCCGCTCGCCGCAACTAGAGACAGCCCTTGCACGGAAATGAAGACCCAAAACAGCCAAAAATAAAATAATAAAATTTAAATTAAAAAAAAAAATAGTCACAGGACAAGGCAGTTCCCATTCTACCATTTAAAAAAAAAAAATCCTGCCTCTCTGATAAGAGGACTTTTGAGTAGGGATCTGCATGAAATCAGAGAGTGAGCTCTGCAGGTATGTGGGTATGTGTTTTAGGCTAGGAAAAGGCCCTGACGCAGGAATGTATTGGTATATCTTGGAATAGCAAGGATACAGGCATGGAGGCATCAGTGTTTAAAAATCTCAGGAATATTTACTCAGTGTTTTGTGTGAGCCTGAGAGATCTTTTTTATTGACAGCCTGTTTTTCTCAGCTTTCCCAGGCAGACCTCTATGAGGATAATCTGATGTCTTCAGATATGTAGAGATGTTTCCAAGCTTTTCATTAGTGCAAACAAAATTAAGCACTATTTACTCAGTTGAACATAACTTGAGCTGTCTGTTTTAGGGTCAGATTGGGTTTGTATAGTGGCCGTGGGTAACTAAGTAGCAAGTGAAATAAGCTAACTTATGTCAACTTTACTTTTCATTCCTTTTTTTAAAAATTGTGGTAAAATATACGTAACATAAAATTAGTCATTTTAACCATTTTTAAGTGTACATTTCAGTGGAATTAAGTACATTCACGTTGTTATGCAGCTGTCACTACCATCCATTTCCAGATCTTTTCATCTTTCCCAGCTGAAACTCCATACCCATTAAACATTAACTCCCCATTCCCCTCTCTCCTCAGCACTGGACAACCACTAAGCTACTTTCTCTATGAATTTTCCGTTTCTGTCTAGATACCTCATATAAGTGGAATCATACAACATTTGTCCTTCTTCACTGGCTTATTTTGCTTAGCATAGTGACTTCACGGTTCATGTATGTTGTAGCATATGTTAAAATGTTCTTCCTTTTTTTTCTTTTTTTTCTTTTTTTTGCGGTACACGGGCCTCTCACTGCTGTGGCCTCTCCTGTTGCGGAGCACAGGCTCTGGACGCGCAGGCTCAACGGCCATGGCTCACGGGCCCAGCCGCTCTGCGGCATGTGGGATCTTCCCAGACCGGGGCACGAACCCATGTCCCCTGCATCGGCAGGCGGACTCTTAACCACTGCGCCACCAGGGAAGTCCATGTTCTTCCTTTTTAAGGCTGAATAATATTCCATTGTATATATAGACTACAATTTGTTTATCCATTCATTTGTCTGTGAATGCTGGGGCTGCTTCCACCTTTTGGCTATTTTGAATAATGCTGCTATGAACATGAGTGTGCAGATATCTGTTTGAGTCTCCTGCTTTAATTCTTTTGGTTATATACCCAGAAGTGGAAGTGCTGGATCATGTGTTAATTCTATGTTTATTTTTTTAAGTATTGACATATTATTAACAACAATGGCTACACTATTTTACATTCCTACTGGCAATGCATGGAGGCTCCATTTTCTCTGCATCGTCACCAGCACTTCTCCATGTCCTCACCAAGCACATTTTCTCTCTCTTTTTTTTTTTTAATAATAGCCATCCTAATGGGTGTGAAGTAGTATCTCAGTGATTTTGACTTCCCTACTGGTTGGTGATATTAAGCATCTTTTCATATGCTTTTTGGCCATATGTATATCTTTTTTGGAGCACTATTCATTTAAGATCTGATTTTTTTTTTTTTTTGGCTGTGCCACATGGCTTGTGGGATCTCAGTTCCCAGGGATTGAACCTGGGCCATGGCAGTGAAAGCCCAGAATCCTAACCACTAGACCACCAGGGAACTCCCCTTAAGGTCTGATCTTAATAGAAAATTTTGCAGGGTTTTTTTGGGTAAATTTTTTAAGGGTTAAGAAAGCAGCCACCTTGTCTTCTGTTACTTTTTTAACCCTAAAATACTGTAGTTGTAAAAACTTAAATTGTCTATAGACCAAGTATCTGCAGTAACTCCAAAGTTAGAAGTAAAAGAAACCATAAAGCATCTTTTGTAACAGTGAATGAACCTCTGGGTATCAGACTGTGATGAAAAGAGTTCTGAACAGCCAAAGATCATCCCACCTGCTTTGATTCTTTTTTCTTTTTATTTAGAAGGAAAGGAGTGTATCAATTGGCTGACTATGGCTGTGAAGTAGATCTCTTTTTTTCTGGTAGCTGAGAAGAGCAGGAAAAGAGAGAAAAATGATGAAGAAACAGAAAAAGAAGTGTTAGCAGTTGGATGTAGCTAGGTGGAGAATGGCAAAGGAGTTCAGTAACAGTAATGGACCTTAAGCACCAGAACTGACAGCAGAAGAGGGGGACCTGGCAACAAAGTGACAGAAAGTAATATAGCTCTACAGATTGGAATGGGATGGGGGACAGGGTGAAAGTGCAGCTGTATCTCAGCATGTGGTTCTGAAGTCAGCCACCTAGCCTTAAGTGATTCAGTATGACCTACTGTATACCAAGTAACATATGTCAGTTCATCTGGTTCAGCAGTTAGTATTTGGAGGGTGTGCAGTGTATACAGTCCTACAGAAGTAAACTAAGTTGTTCAGATCATGTATCACATCATTTCCAACCATAGAGTAATGAGGTTTGAGTAATTTAATGAGTAATGTGTAATTTAACAATGTTCAGCATTGTTAAGAAAAAAATTTTTAGACTATCTGTTTAAGAGAGGAAGGAATTTTTTTATTCAGAATGGCTGATGACCCATTAATGCAAGGTAACACATCTTTTTTTTTTTTTAACTATTGAATGTTTTGTACCCTATTCTTTATTAAATACTCTTTGGGTACTGCATTTAGCTAACTGTTTCAGTTATAAAGCTTATTTAAGTTGATTACTTTGCTTTGATTTAAAGTAATGAATGAAAAATTGTACCACATTTTTGCTTATCACTCTTTGACAAATTAAAATTGATTAATTTGCTACAGATGAGGTAGCAGATGACTGACTTGCTTAACATTTTACAGCTAAGTTAAAGATAATTTAGAGGTAGAAGTGCTGTGCTGCTTTCTCTGATATTGTATTCTTGTCTCCTTGTTTTTGAGAACAGTTCATTTTTGTAATATAGATACTGCAGTATAGATAACAGATAATTTTTACTGTAGGGAAAAATATCACTGTGAAGACAGATCATTGAAGCAAAGCATTTATTGTATGTTTGTTTCCATTTCTTTATAGCAGATTGAATATTTTAAGCATGGTCTAGGTTGATAATATACTTAGGGTTGATTTGCTCAGAGGTTAGAGAGGTGCTAATAAGACTAAGATTGTGGATTTGGGCCTTGTAAGGCCCTTTAATAGCTAATTAAGGGAATGATAGCAACTAATACCCAACATTGTAACTGCCAATGGCTCTGGGATGTGGCTACTATTCTTATCCCCTGCTAATCACATTGCCATTATCTGTGATAGGTATAAGAAAGCAACATGAAAGATACTATATGTGGCTCAACAGATACAGTATCTCTATTTAAAAAACAATTTGGAGTTAATATCCAAGGTAATGAAGGAGTGTGATACCCTTTTCATTTACAAAGCATAGCTTAGTTTTGTGTGCTTTGTTTAGAACATGGAACAAGCTAGAATTGTGACCAAGATTATAACTTGAGGTGATG